TTGTTTTCTCCTCCAGACTATTCATCCAGTCTATCTTATCTAGATAGATCTGTAGATAATAATGTGCACCAAAAATCAAGCCATAGCAAGATAGGCGATGAGTGAGAACACAGCGATGGCAACAAAAAGAAATCCAATTATCCATAGATTTTGTGTTTGATTGAACCTCTCACTTCAAAACATTTGATTATAATTTTCAGGAAGAACAGAAAAACTGAAAGAATAATGCACTCTCTGTCAATAGGAGTCTTTGTTTGCTTCATGCACATAGTCAATTTTGCTACAACAAGATGTATGTGCTCCAAAATATCATCGCACTATGCAAAACACCCTGGTGGTGCTGTGGGTTAGAAACTGGAAAGCTAACTGCAAGTTCAGCCGTTCAAACCCATTAGCCAGTCCTCCGGAGAAAAAATGAGCCAGTCTGTTCATTTAATGTTTGTTTAGTGCATCCCACAGATGAAACGATGTATACATAATTGGATGCAAAAATGCATGTTTTCCTTAAAATTCAGGTGCTTTTGTGGCACAATGGGTTGAGCTAATGACAAGACAGGCATAAAGATAGCTTCCTCAAAGATTATAGCCTCGGAAACTCTTCGGTGCAATCTTGGTCCATAGAGCCATTTTGAATCAGAATCAACTTGCCAACAGTTGTTGTTATCAGGTGTCATTGAGTCGGTTCTGATCCATAGAGACCCATGTATGCACAACAGAAGGGAGCAGTGCACGGTCCTGGGTCCTCCTCACAATTTTTCCTATGCTTGAGCCCATTGTTGCAGCCAATGTGACAATCCACCTCATTGAGGGTCTTCCTTTTTCCCCCTGTCCCTCTACTTTACAAAGCATGATGTCCTTCTCTAGGGACTTCCAATATCAGGCTTATTCAAATTGGACCCTAATATTTCAATCTCACTGAATCAATGATGCTTTCAAAACACGCATTATATAGCAGAATGCACTGTATATACTTGCTGTTGTTTTAGTTACCAGGTAGTTTGATTCCAATTTACAGCAATCCCATATGTATAGATAGAACTACTGACTATAGACAGAAATATTTTTCCCAATCAGTTGAAAGCATCAGATCTCATGACACTTCATCAGTTAATATTTCAGCAAAATTCACCATCAACCAGGATATTGTCCCAACCATCAAATAATTCATGCTTTAAAACCAACAGCAATACATTAATATCAACCTAATGAGCAATCCATACTCTAATGTCCCCATTTGTCTCCCTATTTTATAGGTGGCTTTCTGTTCAAACCATGATCAGATTGATTAAGTCCTTTAGTATCTTTAGATCTAGAACAGTTCTATTCAGAAACTCCACCCCACCCCACCCCCGCTCCTCCCGGTAACTTTCAACTAAGCACACACCAGACCAGTATCTGGTCTTACTGTCTGACTTTGGTTACTTTAAGTATACTCTGGAGTACAAATTGTTCGTAAAACTGATTGTTAAATCAGTAAATTTGGTAAAACGGGTGGGGGAAGGGGATGTTATTTGGAAAAGTCCACTTGGGCTAATTGCCCTATAGACCTTGGAGGGTGAGCCTGTCCAGGAGGGTCCTTAGAAGGGCACCAGTAAGAAGAAAGAATTGGCTCTGATCAAGACTTCCCACTTAATACCTCTCTTGCATCAGTCTAAGCCAAACATACTATCTCTAGTGGGTCAAGACCATATAAAACTGAACCAGGAGCTCCGGTAAAACAACTGGAGCTGGCCAGCCTAGTGACAAGGGGTTCTTTGTCCTGCATTTCCCCTGATCGTGAGTTAAGGCATGGGGTTGGGAAAGCGTGAGAGAGGCCTAATAAACAGTCTCTACTCAAGTTAGTTCATGGAAAGTTTCTTCTATTGGGGGCCTTGGAGATGGGGGGATAAAGGTGCCAAGTAGAACTATTCTCAATCAACAGACACTAAAAGATAACAACTTGAGTTGAGTAATGGCATCTCTCATCCTGCCCCACTCCCACGCAGTCCCTGGACCAGCTTTGGTGCCCTTCACCCTCAACTTCACCATCACCAACCTGCACTACATGGAAGACATGCAGCCAGGCTCTGCCAAGTTCAACTCCACAGAGTCCATCCTACAGCAGCTGGTGAGAGTCTCCTCTACCCATTCCCCTTTTCCAACTTCATCTCCTCTCTTGCTGAGTCTCCCTGCTATATTTTCTGGGAATTCAGAATGCTTAAGCTCATGGACTGTACAGACAATCCAAAGTTAAAAAATTGGCACTCACTGACACTTGATGTGACCTTGGCCCATGACCTTGTCTTTTGGTACCTCCATGTCCTCTTCCATAAAACTGAGTTACTACAATCACTTATGCTAGAGGGTGGTTTTTTACAATGAAGTGAGCTGTAGTGGGTGGATTTAGAAGTTGTGGTTTTATTAAAAATGTTTTACTGTTTAAAAATATGAGTATTTTTACTTTCATTTGTATTCATCCACTTCCTCTTCCTTAAGCTCAAGCCTTTGTTGGCCAACAGCAGCATCC